CGTGTGTGGCTTTTTTTTTTTTTCCCTAGTGTTTGTTTATCAGATGTTATAAAGAAACAACTGGTAATGAAATTTGTCTGTTCTAATTCTGTTAAAACAATTTTATTGGGATGTGGTGCCATATAAAGGTCTAAGTGCAGGACTGGCACCCGGGAAGTTCTGGGTCCTCATCTTTCTTTTGGTGCCAATATGGTTGCGTGGAGTCAGTCAGACTACAGCAAATCAGAATAATAAGAATCTGTCCACATGTTACAGAAGGAAATCACCCCTGTCTTGCAAATGGAAGGGATATATTTATGTGGCACAGCATCTTGAAGCAATGAACACTATGTGTGTAAGATGTCTTGTCTTGAAGAGATTTGCTCAGTGGATACATAAGCTGTTCAGATTGTACTTGGTTAGGAAGTGAAGTGCTTCAGGGTCTCACTGAGCTGGCCATGTGATAAGCCCTTCAGAAGGGCACCGCGCGTGTCCCTGGATTTTTCTTGGAGATGTTGAGTCTGAAATAACAGTATGGTGTCACTGGCAGCCGTTAGGCCAGTCACTGAAGCTGAGTGATGGAACAAGACCCGTGCCCGGGTAAAGGCCACTTGCAGAAGAGCTTGTTTCTAGGCTACAGGTTTTGTTGTCCTTGCTTTAAGGCCAGTACCTCCTTCCTCCAGGACTTAGTCACCCAGTCAGCTGATCTTCCTCTCCAGAGCAGAGGAGTTTGTATGTGAAGTTGCCTGTTGACAACTTCAACAGAGCCTGGTTGTTGTTGGGATAGCAGTTGGGGAACATCAGCACCTACTTAATGATGCATTTAACAGCTAATAGCTCTTGAAGTGCTCTCTCCAAAAGCTTGATGCTCTTGGTATTTTTGTTTACCTGAGGTCTTTTGACTTATTCTTTACAACTGTGAAGGTTAGAAATCTGTTGCTGTAAACATCAAAGTTGTGTTTCTCTTGTAGTAAGAGTTGTGCTCAGGGCAGAGGCCCTTAGTGCCTCTGCTGCTTCTGACCCTGGTGATGGTGGGTGGCTTTTCCGTGACTGCCGAGCATGGAAATGACATACGGGTGGAAGTGTGTTAAGGTACCTGTAAGCAGGCAGTGAAAACTTCCCAGCAGCCAAACGTTTGTCCATAGCATAGATAAACTAATGTTCCAGCGTTTCCTAGGGTTTTGTTTAGAGTCAGACGTGTCATACCTGGGCTTAATCCCAGATCTACACAGCCCTGTTGAGAGACTTGAATTGCTGATGACCACCCCACCCAGTCCCCTAAGTGTTCTCCACGTGGGATTTGTAGGAGCTCAGCACTTCTGAAAATCACTTTGCAAATTTGTCCCCTTTTCTGTCTGAGGAGTGGGCATGTTGAACCATTGTGGCATGGGAGGGTGATCCCAAATTCATGATTTGTAAATAGCTTTGTAGTTCATAGTGTATTACATTTGATCCCCTAAGTTTACTCCTAGTACCCAGGTGCTGTAGAGGCCATGCTGTGTCTGCTTCAGGGGCAGGAGTAGTTTTGTGTGTTGCATGGGGGGGGGGCAAAATAAAAACAAACCAAAACAACACAAAAGAAAAAAAACCTAGCAGGATGTCCTGTTAACATGTCTTGTTTTAGAGGGTAGTGCAAGTCCACCAGCTTTCTAGGTTTCAGTGTAATAGAGGTAGGTATTTAGCATATTAATCCTAATACATTTCAGAAGGTGCTTGCACAGCCTTTGTTAGGAGCTTGGGAGAGTGGTTGTCATCACTTCAGCATCCTTCTGCCCCTCTTTTGAAGATTGTTCCTGTGGCCAGAGAATTATGGGCACAGTTTCTGTGGAGGTGCTGGAGAACATAGGGGATTGCTTGTGATAGTATTTCAGGCAGGCTCTGTTTCAACTCCCTGGTGGTTGTTGTAAGATTTAAGAAAAAAAATCTCTTCAAGTTTGGTATAATCTTTCTTTTCTTGACAGTTCTGAGAGGTGGCTGCTGGTGACTACAGAGTCGGCAGGCACAAGCTGTGCTTGAGGGTCTCAGCTCATCTCCTTGGGGGAAGGATATGATAGGATATGCTACACAGGTGGGAGACTACATTGGTCCAGAACCTAGTTTAGGGCTTAGTGTGTCACCCAGTCCTAAACTTGAGGCTGTGGAGCTGCTGTTTGCTGGCCACCGTGGTAAACCCGGGTTAAGGAATGCCATCCCCTACCACTTGCTTATTATTTGCAAGACAGCTCCACAGAGTTGTGCTAGGAAGGTGGCAAATTGCAGTACAGAGATGGGAACAGGAGCTGGGAAGGAAATCTTTACCTAGTTTTGCTAACAGGGCTTGTACATTATAAAACTGCAGTCTGAGCTGGAAATCCTGCAGCATCTCTTCACTAACATTGACCTGGAATTTACCTGGCTGTCTGCCATGTGCTAAATAAACCCCAAGTCATGTTGGAGGCTCCTTCTACCCCCTTGAATCCCAGCCCCTTTCTGGGATAGCAACCCACAGGCCAGATTTTCTTCTGTGGAGGTTTTTAAGCGACCACTTTGGAGCCCCTTGAAACTAGATACTAGTGGGAATTCCTGTAAGGCCTCTCTAGCCTTGCTGGCTGCGACATCCTGGAGTGAAAACGTGGCTTGGATTGAGGATTGGTGAGTTGGTAAATTAGTACAAACGCAGCTAGTACAATTGCTTGAATTTCCTAATGAGCAGTGAAGAGGTCTGGTAGGTAAAAAATGTTACATACAGTCAGATCAGAGGTCTGCACCTCTACCGTCTGCTGTGTGGTGATGATTTGTAAGGAAATCTGAGTTATGTGGAAGGGTCTGGCTTGAGACTTGTTCTTGTACCTTCACCTTCCTGCCTTCCCCCCCTCCGGCCCCCCCGCCCCAGGATTCTCAAATTCTGTGTTCAAGCAATGCCTTTTTACTGCTTGCATCTTTGCAGTGTCCTGGCGCTTAAGATGCTGTTCTCAGAATTAGGACTTGGCTCGTATTACTGTGGCAGAATCAGGAGCTGTCTTTCAGCTGGAAAAGTACCGAGTTTGATTTTTCCTTGAAAGAGATTGCATTTTAAAAAGACAATTCTGATGGTGTCAGAACTGTTGTTTGCCTTCTTAAAAAACTTAATCATGTTCAAACCTAGTGGGAAGGAATCAGCTGCTCACGCAGAATCTTCCATGTGCTGTTGGCAGAGGGGAACTGCCCAGGTGGTTGTATGTACTTTGGTTTAACTTGTTCGTGCTGCTGTTTAGCCTTTGGTTTGCATGTCTCGCTTTGCTTGCTAGTGGAAAGAGCCTCTCATAGAGAGAATGGAGGAGTGATTCATGCTGAAGAAGGAAATTATCTCTTATCTAGGTTGTCTCTAAGCCAGTCCTCCCAGAGCTGACTTTATCCTTGAGAGGCTGAAAAGTTGGTCTAAAAGGTAAATATTTATTCTTTAGAGTGTCTGAAATTGATCTGAAATCCTGGTGTCTGGTATGGTTGCTGATGGGAAGGATGCTATGCTTGTCTGTGTTCACACAGCACAGTGTGATTCAACCTGCAAGCAGAACAAAAACTGTTCTGGAGGAGCATAACTAAAAACTTGCTGAAATCTGTGTAACCTCATCAACTAAGCAATGTTTTCTCCCACCTCAGTTACAATAATAGGTCTGTGGAAGAGTAAAGCTAAGAGGTCTAGCTCGTGGCTTCTCTGCTGTCCCAGCGTCAAGGTTTGTGGGATGGAGACTGTTAAAATATCAGCGTTCTGCATCTTGGAGAAAGTCACTGGAGCTTTGCTAAGTCAGCTGGGAGGAAGATCAGATACTCAGCAAAGTGGCTTTTCTTCAGTGTTGTATAGTAGGACACTTAGGGAGGCTTTTGTAGTACTGAGTAGAACGTTTCCATACCCTTTTAAAAAACTGCAGTGGAAGTTCTGCATGACTTTTTATAGCCAACCTGCCCCTGCCTTGGTGATTGCCCAGAATTCAGCAGGAACAGAAAGTGAAACTGGCTGGTCTGCTGGTCATATGCTGAGGTGTGCAGAAGGTGGAAAAATTGTATAAATGCTAAACCGGATGAACTTTGCAGTCCTATTATTATCATTTTTATGGAGAAAGCTGTCAGTGGTTAAGAGTGAGCCAAGCCAATTCTTGTGTAATTAGCCCCATACAATTAACATGGTATTTAGCGATGTTTGGCTTGAGCTGTTAAGTTCTTGTGTATAACAGGGAGTTTCTGATGAGAACATGAAATTTAGATACCCAGAGTGAATATGTTGCAGTTAACCTAATTATTTAAAATCTTTTCACGCTCCTTTAGCTTCTGGCTTAAAGGTCATTGAAATCTAGACCTGGGATGCCCTTTTTAGCCTTTGCATAGCATCAGTTAGTGTACTATTTTTGACCACTTACTAGTATTGGATATGAGGAGAGCTACTTTGGAAGTGTTTTGTAGTATTTGTGTTATATTTCCTATTTTATCACTTGGCATCACTTGGTTCATACTCTCCTGGGTTTTTTTAGGGAGATTGCTGTGGCTTGAGCCATTGTTGCTGAGTGTTTCGCTGCTGTACCTACCTAACCTCAAAATTACTTTTGCTGCCTCTTTGGATCCTTCCACTTCCAGCGGAGGAAAGTAGACCTTCTGGCTTAACCTGAGCACAGTCCTAAGAGCTCCCTAGCCCAGAGCTCAGCAATAGCGCAGATCATCTCTTGACCTAAGCCAAGCATGTCACTTGGGACTTGGTCCTGCATTGAGCTGTGTGTAAATTGATTCTCCCTGCCCTCCTGTTGAAGTAGGCTTGCTATAGGTTTGGGATCTCTCATTTATACCTTGGTTTCTTTGTCTTTTTACAATGTATCTTTTCTTGAAAAGGTAATGGAACCCCTTTAGCTACAAGAGTGATTGTATGCATCTGCTGAGTATTACCCATCTGTGTATAATTCCGATACATCTGTCAGTTTTACATCTAAGATGTATACAACTCCTGTTCAAGGAAGGTCTGTAGTTTAGACGGTAAGCGGGATGTGCGATTAACCTTGTGTGTCTGGCTCTTTCAGAACAGGGCAGTCGGACGGCCCAAAGGGAAACTGGGCACTGCTTCTGCGGTGAAGCTTGCAGCTAATCGGACAACCGCTGGAGCACGTCGGAGGAGGACGCGATGCCGCAAGTGCGAAGCGTGTCTGCGGACAGAGTGCGGCGAGTGTCACTTCTGCAAAGACATGAAGAAATTTGGGGGACCTGGCAGGATGAAACAGTCCTGCATTATGAGGCAGTGTATCGCAGTAAGTGTACTTGTTGCTACAGCTTGTTCGGAGATTTCTTTCCTATATCTGTGTCTCCTGGTGACAAGGTGTGGATCTGAGAGCTCTTCTCTGATGAGTAGGCTCTAAAGTGCATCAGACAAAACAGCGTAATCCCTCCCCTCCCAGTTCAGATCTCTTCTTCCCATTGCTTTTCATCCTCCCCAAATCTTAAACCAGAATGCTACTAAAACTTAATAGTACAGCTTTCATTCTCAGCAATATAGAAGTGGAGATTATCAGTACACCAGAAATTGGCACTCAAATCACACTGACATTCTGGGATTTGGGGGAGAAGGGGAAGAGTGGGAAGTTCTCATTCAAAGGGAGAAGAGGCCTGTTTGGTTTGGATCTCTGAATTTCTTGAGAAAAACTGCCTTGCAACTATCGTTACTGTCTTAACTACTTAACCAAGTTAAGATGTGGAGAAATCTTTGATTGGCATCCTCCAAGATTTTTGGCGTTGGTGACCGCAGCCACAGGCTACTTGAGATCTGAATTTCAATTTGTTTGCTGTTACTTAGGCATATAGCAGGAAGTCTGATCCAGATGAGCCAACAAGCCATCAAGCTAGGGTCTTGTCTTCCTCAGGGACTGGAAATGGCTGTCAGGGGATGAGCATCAAAACAGGACGAGCAGGCAGTGAAAGACAGTTTCCTGGGCTCCTCTGGTACATTGCTTAGAAGCTTCTTGAGTCATAAGTGATAGCTTTGTATTTAACAAATATGGACAGATTAATCTTCTGCTAAGTTGTCCAAGGAGCTTTTGAATCCATTGCTTTCATACTGACTGTTGTGGAGCTTCTCCTCAGGTCTCATGTCTGCAGTGCCCCCATTCAAGGGTAAAAATTAGCTTTAGCTTTTATCTTAATTTTTTGGAACGTCTTGTTTATGCTGCTGTTAAGGGTTTGGTTTTCTGGGGGGTGTGTGTGGTGTGTGTTTTTTGGTTTCTTGTTTTTCTTTTTTTTTTTTAAGGAAAGGAATGTTGTTTATTCATAACTGAAATATCACCCCATCTATACTGATTTCTCTCTTAACTCTTGTTACAGTTCCTTTCACTTAGGGTTGTTTTTTTTCTTTAATTCTGATGAGGAAACTGAAGTGGAGGCATTAAGTGACTTGGTCTGATACTGATAAAACACTGATAAGCACTTAAGGTTTCCAGTAGTTGCTCTGTGTCCTGTTCCAAGCCATGCACTGTTCTTGACATAGAGGATTGGATTCAGCTCTGCTGGATCTTTCAGTAAAGTACATAGAATATCTACCTTTCTGCAGAGTGCTTTTGCAGCTCAAGTGTCTTTTCTTTGAACACTTGATTTCCTGGAGTGTGGCATGAATTGGAACAGCGTGGATGAAGAATTTATTATTCCCCAGGGGGAATAAATAGTGAAATGGTGCTGCCTTTTTAGTGGAGGGATTAAATTAGGGCTGCAGTGTTCTTTCTTGTCCTGACTGGTGAAGGAAGCTTTCATAGTAAGCTGTTTCACTCTTGATAACACAGGCTGAGCCTTTTGGAGATGAACTGGGTTCTCTTCTGGCTGAGTGTAGTCATCCTCTCATCCCCTGTCTTCTAATGAAGAAGTATTTTTCTTCTTGGGTGTCTGCAGTTTTGTTTCCAGAAGCTGTGGTTAGTGCACAGGACTTGGTAGCTGATGTGTTCTGATTCTTTGTCCCACCCTCGCATGCACTCAAGAAGACGTCTTTGCCCTTTTTAGGTTCCCATTGGTGTAAATAGCAGGGGAAGTATGAAAGACTTTCTTAAGAGCAGCCAAAGCATAGAAAATTAGAAAGTTGAACTCTTGTAAATTTTAAGGGTGCTTTACATTTCTATAAGCAGTTCTATTGTCTTTACTCTTGTTCATTATGCTCTCTAACAATTGCAGTAGTAATATATTGTGGTACCTATCCGACAGCTTCCAGCCAAAAAAAGTCCAAAACACCAAAGCAAGGCTCTGTGGAAGTAATGATCCCTACAGTTCTGAAATTGTGCTTTCCTCTGGTTAATAACATTGACAATATTAACTAGATGCAGACTTTCATTAAACTCAGAAGCCTTAAGAGAGCCTGTACTGCCATGTGGAGAACAGGAAACTCCTCTGCATCACTAGTTCAATCAAGAAAGGAAACGGGAGTGCCTGGGACACTTTATGCTGCATTGAATAGGTCTGAAGGGAGTGTGGGGGTCTGTGCTGGGAGGACAAGTTGTGACAGCATGACTGCTGTTCTAGCCTGTCAGTGGGACAGAGCTAGTTGGGGCACAGAGGAGATTCCCTAGATACCCTTGCTCCCAGCAAGAAAAATTGTACTGCTCCTGGGGTGTTTGTTCTTGTGTGTGGATATAAATACTTGTTGTGTGGGAGATCAGACAAAACAAGTGGACAGACCTCTTATAGCTCTGGACAACTTAGCTTTTCTCTGGTTTACCTGCTGGTGGAATGGGATCCTGGGGATTTCTATTTTGTGCTTGGAGGAAGGGTGGGAATTAGATAGCATTTGCAAAATGCTTTTAAAATGGAGTGTGGGTAAGTACTGGCATGAGAAAGCAGGAAAGTGTTGCTGTAGCTAATGTATCAGATGTTGGTGTGTGGGGCAGCACACTGTACTCTGTAATGGCTTACTATAGCTAGTTTTTTTTCCTATCTGAAACTTGCCGAAGGATGCACTGTTGCTGTGTAGATTTGGTTTGGTGTGCAAGTATCCACTTGTAGATACAGTGAATAAAATCTCTAAGACATCCTTGCTGTGAAAAGCCACAACTCTGCCTCTGGCTGCTTAATATTTAAGCACTTTCAACCTAATCGATTGCATTGCACATTATGGCCAGGTTCTTATGAGGATCTTCCTTTTCTTTCTTGTAATGAGGCTTATGCTTTATTGCTGCAAACCAGAAGTTTGTTCCTGATTAGCACAAAGGTGGCTTTTTAATTAGACTGGCATTCAGTGCTTTGACATGGGTGACAGATATGTGAGGTGCTGCAGTTCCCTTTCTGCCTGAGCAAAAGACAGAAAAAAAATCAGTGCGGTTCTCACTTGTGACACTTGCAAGGAGGAATTCTCTTTTTAAGTGTCTGTGCAGTGCTTTTTGCAATGCTCAGGTTGGGAGCAGGGCCCTAGATAATAGACTGTCAGTCAGGAAAAGGTCTGTTCTTGGTTCTGTTGTGGGCTTGCTGTGAGACCTGGATTGGGTCCCATAACATCTGTCTGCCCTGCTTGTAAAATAGAGGAGCTGCCAAATTGCTAGTCAGATTGTGAAGCTTGATGGATGTGAATAGTGATGTTCTAGGTTGCTTCTTTTCCCTCCCTTTGTACACTAGTGAAGTGACTTGCATGCCAATGTTTGTGTCAGCTCACAGATTCAAGGGACCCACAAAAAAGCATTTTCATCCATCCCTGGGGTGCCCCGTGAATCCATGTTGCTACAGGGAGGGCACTTTCACTCCATGAAACGTCCTGTGATGCTTGATCCAAGTACCCAGCCCCGATTGTTACCAGTTTTTCTTGCTTTCGTTGCTCTGCTGGGCTGCAGCCTTCAGCAGTTTTTCACAATTAATCCTTATTTATCTCCTCTTTGAAATGAGGATACTGTAAATGCACATTGAGTCCTTCTGTTTCCATTATGTCTTCTGTGTCCTGATCAAGACTTCTTTCTGATTTGTGTAAACAGCCGGTGTTGCCTCATACTGCTGTGTGTCTGGTGTGTGGAGAAGCTGGGAAAGAGGACACTGTGGAAGAGGAGGAGAGCAAGTTTAATCTCATGCTAATGGAATGCTCCATTTGTAATGAAATCATACACCCAGGATGCCTTAAGGTGAGTACAACGATTTGATACATGTTGGAAACAAAAACTGGATTAGTTACCACCTTAATGTAAAAGTAGTGCACAGAAATTGGAAAGCTTTCACATTTTCATCTTTGGAAACTTAAGTGAGCAAAGAGTTGGTGTGAGAAGCAGGGTGATAGCCATGGCACACGCAGCCCTGACTGGCAGGCGGGGATGCTTTGATGTAACAGCATGCCCTGTAAGCAGAGACTCTTGCTTTGGACAGCCTCTGAAATGTGTGTGCATGCAAATGTCTTGTGGGATTTTTTTTTGTTTGTTTGTTTTGTTTTGTTTTTCTTTCTTTTTTGCCTCTTGTTTAAGGAAGTGAGGAGTTTCAGTTGGTATGGGAAGCTCAAGAGGACAGGGAAATCTGCCTGTACTTTAGGATGAGTTAGTCACAATCCTTGTATCGGTAGCTCCTTCCTGTGTCCCACGAAGTACAAATGAGTAGTTTGCAGTTTGTGTTTGTCCAGGCACAGATGTGCCTTTCGGTGGCAGCTGGCTTTAAAGGTGTTGAGCAAATGTTGCAGTAGGAAAACTGCAGCTCTAGAGAACAAACTGAGCAAGTTTCAAGCTGCAGGAGTGCTCACCCTTGGCTGACTTGAGTCCTGTGAGCAGCTGTATTCTTTGCCGGTAACAAAAGTGTCATTTTGGGCATATCTTTGTGTATTAGCATTTAGAAGCCTCCTTTCTCCAGAGCTGGTTTGTTTCAGCTGATCAGCCATTTCCTGTTGCTGATTTGTTTATGGTTAAAGCAAATTGCCAAAGCAAATGTATTCTGACATACCATGCCCCAGAAGGCAGCTTTTGGCCCTTCTGGGATTTCTGGGAGGAGAGGTTTGTTCCTCATGCAGGCCCAGGCTGATGCTCTCCTGGCCTGTTATTTTTCTTGCCCAGTACATAGTATTGCACCAAGCTATGTGCGTGTCGTTTATTAGAGCAGAAAGTAGGTAGCTGGCAAACCAGAACTGTAGCTGTCTGCCTGATTCATGAAATTGGTGCTCACAGCTCCTGCCACAGATGGGCTCTGAAAGGGAGCTTTGCTTGCTTGGCTCTGCTTAAAACAAGGCTTCAGGGGCTGATGAACCAAGGGAAGGAGCTGCTCATTTTCAGAGGTACCTCAGTTTTGGCTTGTAGCTGCTGGTTTGCTATTCCAGTCCTTCCTGAAAGTGCCCTGCGCTCTCCCATGTCTCGCTTTGCAGTGTCAGTGACGCTTCATGGCTAAGTTCAGAGAACATGATTGTTGTCTAGTGGCAGTTCAAGCATGGTTTCCTCTCCCTGTACCACATTTGGGACTAGTTGCACAGGATGTGGGTCAGATTTGTGAAATCAAGCAAGTGCTCTTTGTTCTTTTATGCATGTGTGGTGTTCTGAGTGCTGTTTTGGTAATAGGAACAATATTGCTTTGGGTGTTTCTGAAAATTAAGCAGTAGGAGATTTACAGTGTGCCTTGTGTGTCTTGTATTTTTATTTCTCAATGCTTCTGTTGAGCTGAAACGGTGGGGTAACTGGTACTGTTTATTTAATGAGACAAAAGGGCACTGGTAGGATTTCGGAATCATCTTGGAAGGCGAGATGAGACTATGCACAGTGGAACAGCAAAAGGAAAATGGAGCCTCTTCTTTGGATCCCTCCTTGCTCTTTATTCCCAGGTTCCGTGATCATCTGCGAGACAAAAATGTGTTGCCATGTTTACATCTTGCTCAAGCCCTTGACATGGGCTTAAGCCCAGATGATGGAGCCCATAAGTAGTCCTTGTGGGAAGTACCTTTGAATGCAGACGCAGCCCCAGGGCAGCTGCTTCAGCTGTCCACCAAGAAAAAGTCCCTTCCTGTCCTACTTGGTAAACAGGCAGTAGTCCATGTGAACTGTTGGTCATCTCCAATTAAATGTTTGGCAAATGTACTTTTGGGGGACACTGATATAAACTGGATCAGTGAAGGGAGTGTCCTTTCCTGACTTACTCCCATGTGGAGTGAATTCTCGCCAAGACACATCTCTAAAGCTTGTGGAGTAGTTTAGCACGTGCAGTGGCTAATTTGTACTCCAGGGCAGGTTGTTCCTGGTTTGAAGTCCATCCTCTTCCAGCTTCTTGATTTGGCTGTACATGTTTGTGGTGGGTTTTCTCCACAAAAAAGGTGTCAGAGGATGACCTCTGTGAGGAGATTAAGGGTAGCTGAGGTGCATCTGTGCTCTGACACACTCGGAGCCTTGAGGGGCTTCTGTGGGTGCCTCTTGCTGGGGGAGCCCTGGGTACCAGAGCACGTTAGGTGCTTGCGTTGGGACCATGCTAAGGACAGCCAGGATGTTCCATGTTCCATATACTGAGAAGTGTCATGGGAGGTTTCTGATATGCTTCTTTCCTTGAAAATACAGTACCAATACAAATGCTCGTTTTGCTGAAGAGTTCTTATGAAAATGATCTTGGCAAGCATTTTGCAAGCATAGCATCATTTCCAGAGGGAGCTAGTGAGATTTTTGGAGGAATACTGCCTTTCGTTGTTACAGAGCGTTTGAGTTGAACCAATATTGATGATTTCTTTCTTGCTACATCTCAAATTGCTAGTAATGCTGGTTAGTATGTGTGAGTGCAGTATCTGATGCTGTTTCTTTAAAGAGAAGGGGTTTCTTTTCCCCAGTAGGAGTCTGTTCTTTTTCATCTTGGGTGGATATAGTGATACTGATGGAAAAGGTGAATATTCAGGTGTCTTGTCAGAGGAGCAGAAATACAAAGACCTTTTCCAGCACAGCTGCACTGCTGCCCATGGCTTCAGCCCAGGTGTGTCTCGCTGCCTATGTTGTTTCAGTCTTGGCACTGCCAGAATTCATGGCTCTCAGTGATGTCAGATCAGCATCCTGGGGTCTCCATATTCCCTAAGAAGAAGACTTCACAGTAGCCTAGTCTTATGTTTAGACTTTCTGAATTGCTGACCTTGTGCTGCAGGTACGTTTCTAAAGATGCCTCACACTGTGGCTCAGACAACCACCTGCTGTTTGTAGCGAACACTCAGAACTGGCTCCCACCCAGCCTGAAAGGCTTGGGACAGATTCAGTGGCAGGTCTGTGTGTGTCTAATTAGTTTTCTTACAGTTCCTCACATCTGTTCAGTTCCTTGAACTTCACAGAAGGGACGGAGCTGCAATGCTTTCCCTTCGGTAGCATTTGTTCTATATTCAGTGCGGGAAATAACTTGTTCCCAACTTGGGCTTGGGCCAGGAATTGTTCCCCTGAGGCAGAGATGTATACAACAGCTCCTGGAGTATCTTACACCTACCATGGGAAAGAAGGTTCAAAGGCACACAGTTGTGATAAAACCAGTATTTAAATTCTGCCCACTTCATTTACTCATTTATTAACTCCAGAAGACTTGGTGAGAGAGACTGACATGTTATCAGTCTCGCTAGATGGTGAAACTAGAATGGCTGCTGTCTGGCTCAGGGACTTGAGGAAGCAATTCCCCTAAAACCAAGGGCTTGCTCATGCTCAGCTAGTGCATTTTCACGGAGCTGGGAGGAGAGGAGGAAATGTTTCAGAAACATGAAAAATCTGCAGATCTCTGCCCCTGCCTGTTTCAGCAGCAGTCTCCTGCTACTGTGCTGCTGATGCCAGTGCCCAGCTATTTGTCTTGACAGAAGCATGTTTTTGTTGTCTGCAATAGTAATAAATTAATCTTTCTCCCCCCCCGGCTTTTTTTTCTGAATATATAACTAAACCCTTAAATGTGAATGTGCTATCAGTGAGCATGCGTGTGTGTGGAGAGTCTTTTTAGCTTAGCTCTGCTTTTCATCCTCAGTTTCATTCACAGAAATGTCTTTTCAGAAACACCTATCTCCTGTTTGGAAAGTAATGCGGACTTCTGTATGGAAATTCAGAAACCAGCAGCTTTTCAACCACGTAGGGCAGGGCTGTGCTTTTATTGTAGTGTAACAACACCGAGTGTGCATCTTGTCTTTCAAAAAGCAAAATGTCACAGTCTCTCAGAGTTAGTGAAGCAGTAAGCATTTCTCTTCCTCACGCTAGCTGGGTAACTGTGGGTGTGAGAAACCTTAAAAATGCCTTCATGTGTCCAGTCTTCTGAATAAAAGCGCCTGTTCTCTAGCTGACTTGGCAACCATCATTTTTATTGGCACATGGGCTTGAGGGCTGGAGACATGGGACTGCTAGTTCTGATCCATAAAGAAAAATATTTTAAGGAACACTTGATTACAGTGGAGGGTGCTATGCTTCTAAAAATGCTGAACAGTATTAATGTATGTGAGAATGTGCATATGGAAAAAAATCCCTTCCTATTAAAAGATCGGACTGTGCCTTACTCTGGGAGGGGACTGGACAGGACTGAGCTTTGCAAATAAGTGGTGTGGGAGGACATTTGGAGATGGCATGATTCCAGTCCATGGTTTTGGTTTGGGTTGTTGGGGTGGTTTTTATTGTTTTGGTTTTTTGCAAGAGCAGAACGTGCCCTGTGTTAATTGGGATTGTCATTGACCTTCATAAAAAGGCCAGACCTGAACCCTTTGTCAAACACCGATTTGGCCAGCATGCTTTCCTCCCCTGCTGACATCATCATAAGGGTAATTGTGCAGGACTGAGGACTTGCTCAGCACTAGCAGGATGGTGCAGCACCTGCGGTGATCTGTGTTCCTTTTCTGCAGCCATTGGGAGGGCAGCAGCCAATCAGAGAAAATTATGAGCTGTACAAAATGCCTTTAAGTGATCTATTTGTAGACTTTTGCAGCACGATTGTGAATTAAATTGTACTTCTCTTTCACCAGGTGAAGGAATCGGATGGTGTGGTTAACGATGAGCTGCCGAACTGCTGGGAGTGTCCAAAGTGCAACCATGCAGGGAAAACTGGAAAAGTGAGTTTAATGGGGATAAGTGGTGCTGGAATGAGATACAAAATCTCAGGCATTCCCTCTGGCTTGTAGGTACAATTTTGCCCAGTACCAGCTTCTGATTTTGTGCTTAATTCAGTTGAATTGAAGGAAATAAGCTGATGGCATTCTGTTCTTTAATAATTTTTGTATTTTTGTTCCATGTACCAACACTTCACCTAGAACCTGGGGAATATTTAGGTTAGTTCTGTGCACTGCTGCATGTTAATTTCTAAGATGAAAATACTTCTTTAAAAAAAAAACAAAATCCAGAGGCAGTTATGCAAAGCCTGAAGTGTCTGTTGGAATTAGTGAAACATTATTTCTTTGCAAACTAAGACAGACACTTGCAAGTGTGTCGTTACAAGAAGGTTCAAACTACTTTAACTCCTTGCTAAAAATTTTGTCTGTTACAAAGCGATCAACCCACCAATGTTGGAGTGTTGGAGGCAACTTAGATAAAGAGCTGAGAAAGGCGTAAGATATAAAGTTTGTTTGTGTTTTGTGTCTCTTTGGCGTACAAGCAAAAGCGCGGACCAGGATTCAAATACGCATCAAATCTCCCAGGCTCCTTGCTGAAGGAACAGAAAATTAACAGAGACAATAAGGAAGTAACAGATGCTGCAAAACGGAAAGGGGATTGTGAAGAAACTCCCAGGCGGAAATCGGAGGAACATTCCAAAAAGACTCAAGTTGACTCAATACTGAGGAGAAAGTCAGACGAAGTGCATCTGTGGAGGAAAAGGAAATTTGAGAAACCCCAGGAACCCACTATGAGAAAGCGGGTATGACAAAACACTCTTTTCATGTGCTTACACAGATGCGTGTGGGCTGGTTGGGGCTGATGTCTCTTGCCTTCTGGCTTATAGCTCATCTTGAAATCCCAGATTGTTACAAAAGAAACTGCAATGTTTTACCTTCCTTTCTGAAAACTGCTAGTCTAACAGGACAGTAGTTTGAGCAGTGACACTTGGGTTGATGTTCAGAGGCCAAAAACACTGGGCTGTGGCTGTTGTTTTATTCAAAATACTGGAAAACCCACTTTAACTGAAAAGTCTTTACAAGATGCTTGGAGTAGGATCAAGATGAAAATCAATTTTTAATGGAAACTTTTCCATCTCTACCCACTTGGTGGCGCATGGCAGCTTGTTTTGTGGCTGATTCAGCGATGTACAATACTCATAACCCATCAGAGGACCTTTAGAAACGACACTTTCTGTAGCCTGCAGAAAGGAGGAGCTGCTCACAACAGCAATGTAGACAGCTTTTCCCTGAATTTGACAGTCGGAGCCCTTGGGCCAGGCAGGGACATTCTAAATTGTCATGTGGATTGCAAAATATGGTAATTGGGATATACAGAAAAGCTTGTTTGCAGGGGTAGAAATGAGGACCTAGATTTAATGTGTCTCATGAGTAAATGGCTGATGGCTTTAAAACTGGAATCAGTGGCTGGTTTTGTATTGCATGTGTAGTTCACGAGGAGTGGCAGTCAGTCTATCTGCAAGGCTTGACAGTGGGAACGCTACAGTACGGTAAATGTAGTGATTGGTGTTGCTTTGATGGAGTGAGAGCGCAAAATTCACAGTACCAGTTTTATGCATATCTGCTTTCTGGCCATGCTTTCCTTTTCCCATCCCTTCGGACTCACTGCAGTGTTTATGGATGGCTTGAATTGCTCCATGAAAGCCCCCCAGTGTGTGAGGAAGGCACTGTGGATCACCAAACCTTCATCGGACAGCAGAACAAATGTCGTGTTTTGGGGTTTTTACTTTTCTTTCTTCCAACAGCTAAAACTTGGAAGAGAAGACAAACTCTTCAGGAAGAAGGTACTTTGCCTTTTTAATAGATGTGTTCTGAATCCCTTTTAATCCTTTCTCATGTGAGCTGAATGGTGAGCCAGTTTCTCTATCAGTCATGTCCTTGTGTCACTGCAGGCTTTTTTATTATTCCATTTACATCTTGAAATTACAGAGATCTCTCTCATGGAAACCTTTACACTCCAGGATAGTTTAGCTGCAGTGTCTGATTTTGTTTTCTGTTCTGGTGTCCCATATTAAAATACAGCAGCAAGCTGTGTTTTGATGACCCGAGGAATAAAATTCTGTTTCTATACTGATGTTTCGCTCTTGCTGCATGGTTGAATCTTGCCCCAGCCACACAGCCCCTCAGCAGTCTCTACCACAGCACATCCCTGGAGTCTCCCACTGACACCCCAGGGAGCCAGGGATGACCTGGCACACAAGTATTGATTACCTCTCACACACCTGCCACGATAACAGAAGTCCAATAACTTTAAACTAAGTGCTTGTCAGTACCCAGTGTGAAGGATGCTGCAAGCTGCCAGTAGTGTGATGTTGTAATTTTTTTATTCTAACCTGTCATTAACTTACTGTGACCTCTCCCTTTATAATATATTAATTTAAAGACAGGGTGATCAGTTTTCTCTGCTGTGCGCTGCAGTCTGAAGCATAGGAACACATTCACTGCCTTGATCCAATTAGCTTATTGTGAAAGCGTAGACCTTCTGATATAACAAGTGTGTTCACAGCAGTTCACCATTTCTTGCCAGTCCAGATCTCTTCTTATTAGAGCTATTTCATTTTAACAGTTGGTGTCTTCTTTCTTGCTTGTAGTGATCAGATTAGACTTGAAGTCTTCCCTGGTCTTAGTTTGTACGTCTCTTACACTTCTGTCTGGTGTGCATCAAAGAGAGATTTGATTAGTGCAAGCAAGTGAAGTGCGGTTTGCTGTTACGAACAATGACTGGGGCAGGGAAGAAGGTGCCAGCTAACCCCTGTCAGCCTGCATTGCGTTGGAGATCGTGTCAGTATGAGGTCTCGTCAGGCTAGCAGTGTGTCAGACCTGTCAGTCAGATTCCCCGTTGCACATGCACCGGAGTTGGGGGAAGTTTGAGAAGACGAGCAGAGTTTAGTGGGATGTAAAGGAGCAGCTGAAGTGTAATTAAATGGGGCTGTGAGTATCCAGCAATAAGGGCCACAACAGCGCAGCCACAGAGCGAGTCAGTGATGGCGATTCAGGAGGTTTCAAAAATTGACCTTTTGACCGTTGGGCATGAATGCATGTCAGCCAGTGTTTAAAGTGGGTGCCCAGTGAATGTGTCCCAAGCCTGGTTTCTTCTGGCCTGCTGGGGAAAAAGCTGTCTATAGTATGCTGCTTATCTTCTGTATATAAACTGTCTGCTGTGTAATGAATAAGGCCCGTAAATCTGCAGGATTATGCATGGTGAATAAATGCATTTACCACTCGCTGGGAGTCCAGAGAAGCCAATAGCTGGACTCCTCATCCATGATGGCACTTGAACTTGATACCTTTGGCCGGTGAATGTACCCTTGTGCTCAGATGGGTGGGGCCCAGAGCTGGCAGGCAGCCCGACCCCCCCAGGCAGGGCTGCCTGTGTGGAGCATCAGCATGTGAAGTATTGCTGAGTATGTTCTTGCTCGAATAGTCAGCCCTTATCTCTTCCTTTTCAGCGGCGATCGTGGAAGGCTCCAGATGACCGAACTGCCATGATCAAACCCCTGCGGCGCCTCAAGCAGGAGCCAGAGGATGACCTGCCAGAAGCACCTCCCAGGTCCAAGGATAGTGACCAGTCACGGTCCAGCTCGCCCACTGCAGGTCCCAGCACAGAGGGTGCCGAGCCCAGGGACAAGAAGAAGTTCAAGATGAGGAGGAAAAGGCGGCTTCCCAATAAGGAACTGAGCAAGGAGCTCAGCAAGGAGCTTAACCAGGAGATCCAAAAAACCGAGAACAGCCTTGCCAATGAGAATCACCAACCCATCAAATCTGAACCTGAGAGTGAGAATGAGGAACCTAAGCGTGCTTTGAACAACAGTGAGAGACTCCATAGGTTCAGCAAAGGGTTAAATGGGACTCCCCGGGAGCTGAGGCACCAGCTCATCCCCAGCCTGCGAAGCGCACCTCGGGGAATAACCCGGCCACCGCCTTCGCTCTCTCCTCCCAAATGCATTCAGATGGAACGGCATGTTATCCGGCCGCCTCCCATCAGCCCCCCTCCGGACTCACTCCCCCTGGATGATGGGGCAGCCCACGTGATGCAGAGGGAAGTCTGGATGGCTGTCTTTAGCTACCTCAGTCATAGAGACTTGTGCATCTGTATGAGAGTTTGCAAGACCTGGAACAGATGGTAAGGAGGGCAGGAAGCCCAGCTAGGTCTAACATGTAGCGGGATGGACTTGAAAGGGAAGCGGGTGACAGAGGCAGCAGGTTGTCACTGAAGCTCTGCTGAGCCCAAGGAGAAGGGGTGACCAGCAGCATCTAGAAAAGTAGCATGTCCTCTGGTGCTTTCTCAGAAAGAGCAGTTCCCAGCCTTTCTGGTGGGAAGAGCGTGTGTGTGTGTGAGAGTGTGTGTGTCAGCCTTGGCATCAGCCTGCTGGGACTGTAGCACCCCAGAGCAGCCTGTTCTGTAGTTAGACACCACAATGTTCTTGCCTGCCGGAATGGGCAGTCTAGGTCATGCTAAGTCTTGGTGTCATTCTGCCCTGAGGACTTGCTGACTGCTAATGCAGTTGTTTGTTCAGTTCAGCTATTAAGTATCTATTGAGATACAGCAAAGACCTTCCAGTGCCCTCGGTGTTCTCGGAAGGTCTGTGCTGATTGTTCCCCTGTAGAGGGTACATGGAGAGCAATCCTGTTTGCTGTGTTTCATACCAGCAGAGCTGACGGAGGAAACCTTTGTTAATTGTATTTACTCGCAGTGTGTCTGTTCAGTGCTTGGGGTACCACAGTGTGAACATTGACACAGTCGGTGACTGTACAGCAGCAGGAAGCATTAGCGGACAGACTTACATGTTTCACTGAACTTGCAGTGAAGTCTCTTGTTGGCTGTCATCTTGGATTCAACTGTAATGTGCACACACACGGACAAATTGTAACAGAGACTCCTTTCTAGCACAGTGTAGTAACTGGGTAGATGACAGAAAGGTTGGGAGGTTGATAATTCAGTGCAAGAAGATGTGTGTGGAGTGTCTCCTCCATGGGCTTCTTGGTGTCACAGAAAGCTGGTAAATGCCTTTTCCACTTAAGTGCAGTATTTCTACTGGAAAAAATGAGAAAATGCAGGATCTTGCACTCATTAGGACTTCCTGCTTGTTGCCCTTAGAGAACCATAAAGAGAGTGTAAAAACTCATAAGCCACGTAGATAGGAATAACACAAACAGAGAACAGGAAGTGGGGGGGATCTGTTTTACAAAATTCACTGGTTTTAAGCAAGGAAAGCATGGGGGAAATCAGGACAGTAATATTTAAAAAACCAGTGTTCATATTCAAAAGGCAAGCAAGAAGGTGTGGCTTCTCTTCAGGCTAGAAAATGGATTTTAGTAAGTGCTCTGATGACTTAAAATGAGATCCAAAGTTGTTGATGCTTGTAATTGTGTGGAAATAATTCCATGCCTTATTGCATGATACATTTGAGGGAGAAACTTCAAACCTATGTACCGTTGTGTGGTGTTGTGCTTATCTTAGCATCGCTCAGCCTTATTTTTGCTATTTTCAGTTAAATGCTGTAGTTCTTCCTACTGTTTAATGACACCTTTTAAAGTCTTGCAGAAATCAAAACAAGTGCCAAATTAAGTGCTGTTGGCTTTTTTCTTTTGGGGTAGGTGCTGTGACAAAAGATTATGGACCAAAATAGATTTAAACCATTGTAAATCCATCACTCCGCTTATGCTTAGTGGCATTATTAGGAGACAGCCTGTAACCCTTGATCTTAGCTGGACAAATATATCTAAAAAGCAGCTGAGCTGGCTTATCAACAGACTGCCAGGTAAGTGATGTTTTTTGACCACTTCACTGAATTCAGCAAACCAGTTTGTATCTAAACTGCAATCTCTGAGGAACATCTGCAGGGACCCAGGTATCCTAGGAGAGGAGTAGATATGTAGGAATGAAGCATCAGCAAATTAAAATGGATCCAAAATTAGTTAAATTGTGACTACTTGATGTGTTAGGTAAACTAGTTTGAGGCAGGTCTTTGTCTACAGGTAAAGTTGCTGTGCTGTGGAAAGTGCCTGTGTTGACATGATTAGCGGAGGGGGTGGAGGGGGTCTGATGTCACCCACAGTAATGAAGTTCCAGATGGTGGGGGAGATGGAGAGCTGGGCAGGAGGCGGCTTATGGGGTCCCTGCTTGCCCTGGCGTGCTGGGATTGTTCGTCAGAGCAGCACTGGGCTTTGCCCAGCCTGCGCCTGGTAGCAGAGATCGCCACGGATGTCTCTCTGGGTAGGCCATGTGCTCCAACTTCTTCTGTATCTGCAGGTCTTCGAGACCTGCTGTTATCAGGGTGCTCATGGATAGCAGTGTCGGCACTTTGTAGTTCCAGTTGTCCTTTACTCCGAACTCTGGATGTTCAGTGGGCAGAAGGCCTGAAAGACGCACAAATGAGAGACCTCTTGTCGCCGCCCACAGATAACCGGCCAGGTAACAGGCGAGAGGAGCATGCGGGAGACCTGTCCCAGACGTTCTGTGGCATGTTCTGCTGCTAGTCCCCCTTGGAGGAAACGGGCAGAAACCCCTGCAGCTAGCATCGGCGGGGTTCTGGGCTTTGCTGACGTGCGAGGTGTTCAAAGTAGTGACTTGCAACACCTCCTCGCTGGAAGCCACTGGGTAACGAGTGATGTTCTCTGGCTGCTGAACAGTCATCTGAGCCACTGTGCTGGTTTTCTGTCTGACTTTCTTCTCTTCAGGCTGCAACGGGTGTACTTTAGAGAGTATGGAAACACTTTCTTCCAGTTCAGGGAAGGAGCAGTTCTGTGGGTCATGCCACATTCGCCCGGATATCAGCTCAGGTGAAATTTTGAGCAAATCAGATCTGCTTTCTGGCATGCACTGCACAGCCTACTGCTTATTCCCGACTTGTAATTCTGCTGGGCCCCTGCAGTTACTTTCATCCCTTTTGTTTTGAAATCAGGAGGTGGCTTTGTCCATGTGCCTGTTCCAAAAATAGACAAGTGTTCCTGCTGATGTCCCCTCCAAAGCTCCAGACAGGCAAAAGCGTCTGAAGTTGATGTAGGGCAGCAGTGTTGTGTGTCACAGTGCATTTCATATAGATCTGCAGATGTTTGCAACACGGGGTGAGACTTGTGGGAGTGACCTGCTGCCTCTGCTTTCCAGGTCAGATCGACAACCGGAGTAAACTACGGAACATAGTTGAGCTGCGTTTGGCTGGCCTGGATATTACAGATGCTTCTTTGCGGCTGATCATAAGGCACATGCCTCTGCTCTCCAAACTCAATCTCAGTTACTGTAATCACGTGACAGATCAGTCTATTAACCTGCTGACCGCAGTTGGAACCACCACGCGGGATTCATTAACAGAAATTAATTTATCAGGTAAGCAACAGAAGCGCAGGGGTGGGGGAAGGACGGGAATTGCCCATTGGCGTTAGGCTTGTGTGAAACACTCATCACTGAGAGGGGTTTTACCCAGCTCTTCCCCGGCCCCGGGTTAAACCCCCCCCCCCCCCAGGATTCCATTTAAGCAGCTGGATGTGCTGCTGGTGTAAATAACCCCACAGCTGCCCAGCCTTTCCCCAGGCCCTCCACCAGCTGCCAGGCCGGCCGCCTCCTGCTTAGGAGCCATGTGTTTTACCTCGCTCATCCTCCACAGGGGATTTTCTCTGCGCATCTGTCGTTCTTTGCTTTATCTCATTGGTTACACAACAGAGTGACAGGGATCAGGGAGCGGCCATGGGGCTGGCAGGGTGATTTCACTGTCGGCACAGCACGGGAGGAGCAGGAAGGACCTACCGCAGTCCGGATAAACTGTCCTCATGCTGGAGAACAAACCTGAGAAGTGCTGTTAAATTTCTCCCCCTTTGTGTTTTTTTTTGTTTGGTTTTTTTTTTCCCCACAGACTGCAATAAGGTTACTGACCAGTGCCTGTCTTACTTCAAACGTTGTGGAAACATCTGCCAGATTGATCTGAGGTACTGCAAGCAAGTGACAAAAGAAGGCTGTGAGCAGTTCATAGCGGAAATGTCAGTAAGTGTTCAGTTTGGGCAAGTGGAAGAAAAACTTCTGCAAAAACTGAGTTAGTTAAAGGACACGTGTAAATACTTGGGGTGGGGTGGGGTGGGGTGGGTGGGACTAAGAACACGTAGGGATTTTATTTTCAATTGGGAACTTGGAATATTGGAAAATACCGCGATTGGATTTTACAACTCTTGTCGAGGAGAGAACAACATGAAACTACCCATGTTAAGAGTTTCAACTTGTGCCACTAATTCAGTCTACCTGGGATGGATGTCCTGCACTGGCTCTTATGCAAATTCATAAGGCGACTGTTACTGATGATAATTGTTCACACCCGGAAGACGACTGATCTCCAAGAAATACTGTTATTTAAAGTACCACAGCATGTGCTTGGTAGTGTAAATTTGATTTCTGCTTTTCATTTCTTAAAACAACAAAAAAAAAAAAGTTGGTGTCATTGAAGTGGACCACGCACTGCATTTCTGCCTTCTTAACACGTTTTGTTTTGTTACATCTTACATTATGCAGAACTATTTTTGTACAAAAATTGTTTAAAAATTATTTATGCAATGTTTGAATGCATTACCAGTGTTTCGGTTTTGATTGCCAATTTTTATCTTTACTTATGGTAGGCGAGAACTTAACCTATACTTCGTAGACAGTATCTATCTACAAATGTGCCCAGGTCAGGAAAAGTAGGTTAATACTTTCAACTTCAAGCATGTTTTAATGGAAGTTTATATCCTGCTTTGTATACTTCAGAAGTGACATAAGCATGTTGTGGAAATAAGGTGTAAATTATAGTTGAAGTAAAACACTTTTATCTGTATAGAAATCACCTTTTTCTCAAAATTTTAAAAAATTCCAATTTCAGCTTTTGCACATAGGAGGGTTTCACTCTGTAGCATGAGCTCTTGTACTCAATATAAAATTAATTTATACAGTGAGTCCAGCTGTAGAATAAATGGTCAAACGTAGTCTCTCTTTCTTTGAAGTGTGAGTTGAGTTCTCATTTAAGGTTTATAACATGGTTATTTCCTGATTGTAAAATTCTGCATTCATAAGTGCCATTGTTGTATGGTGTTGTTTTCGTAGACCTTCCTGATGCAGTTTTACCTTTGTTGAATTTGTATAAACAATTGTACAAAACCAGGTGGTGGCTCTGTGGGTTTCTGTTCCAATGTGGGGTTGTTGGGGGGGGGGAGGGGCTTTAGGGGTGTGTGGCATGACTGCAGTGAGCCCCATGGGGTTACAGCTGGGTTCTGTGTGCGGAGCAGGTCCTGGTTTCTAGCCTTGGTGCAAGCTAGGATTAATAGCTGTCATGCTACATGTAGTACTTTCACAGCACTTGGTCTTTGTCCTGTGCCTCTAGTTGGTGTGTTCCAGTACATCTATACTGAGGAGGGAATAAAAGACCCATCTGTACCTTCCTTCAGCTGGAATTGGCCCAGATTAGTCTAGAGGAACACTTACACATCTCCAGAAGAATGTTAAAGCTTGAGCTGAGTAACCAGCAGTGCTCCCACAGCTGGTGAAGAAAAGAGGCAGAGGCTGAGAAAGCCCATCACAAATCTTTATTAAGCTTGTGTGGCTAATGATCAGCATGGAAATAACATAGAGGGCATGTTTTTCTTCATTAGCTTACCCACTGAACAGAAAATTGAGGAATTAAGTACCATTAAAAAGTTAGTTACTTCTAAAAAATAAAGCCATTGAGAGGTTTGCTCCCTTCTGAAAAATAACCAGCAGTGTCTCCAAGCTGTGCATTTTATTTTGAGGAGGAGCTACTTTCTCTTTTTCAAGCCAGCTTAATTTTTCACATAAAAGACAGAGCAGGCATGACAGTGCAGCAGAGGTAAGAGTTCTCAGGTACTACAGCCTTGGCAGAAGATGCCCCTGTCTCTGTTACTTTGCTAGCATGTGGGAAATTAAAAGGAGAAACTGCAGCTTCATTGATCAACCCTCCTTAAAGGCTATGTGTCCTGGCCAGACTAGGTCCTTCCTCACCTCTCTCTTTTTTTTTTTACAGTGAACTCAAATCAGACACTGTCATGGCCACAGGCAGCCTGTCCCCAGAACATGAGTGGTTCTTGCTGCTCTCTGTGTTCCCCAGGTCGTCTGTCACAGATATCCTGCAAGGACCATGGAAATTCTTGCTCCAAGAGGGCCCTTACCCCAGCCAGAAACTGGAGCAAGGGGTGACAGCAACAGGGGTCATTCAGCAGCCAAGGGGAAGCATGGTTAATAGTGGCTTAGCCTTGGTCAGAAGCCTGTGAACATGAGGTTTTAAACATAGACCATGTTTCCCTCCCCCCTTTAAGGTCAGTAACACCATACATTCCACATGTTAGCAGCAAATAGTTTCATGACCCTGATTAGTATTCACAGTAACATCATGTTGTCAGCACGTGGTGTACAATCATCACACGTAAGATTAATAGTCACAAGAGGCATGAGTGGATTAAGGACCACAACAATATGGTTTACTATACCCCTCTTTTAAAAAAATATTTTATTCCTAAACTAAAAAACACTTAGTAATTGGTAGTTGGACAGCATGTGGCAGAGACCTGCAAAGCGACAGAGCTTTCTGTACATTTACAAGGAATAGCCAAGACATGACACATGTCATGACAGACATTCGGAACGGAGCAATCAGCATAAAATAGATTGCTTAAGGGCTTCTCTGCAGGTACAGTTAATGGCAGTGCTTTCTACAGTCCTATTTTATACTGTTAACACTGTTGCAGGGACAGTGTCAGAACAGTTACATTCTATAGTTACATAAAAGCTGAATATTCAACTGATATATTCATTGCTTCTAATGCACTAGACAACATAACACGCTAATGCAGTCGAGCAGAGGTGTTCTCCAGCCCCTTGCTGAGTCCTGAATGTGACCAGTAAAGGTGATATTCTTCAGAAGAGAGCAAGAACTGCTGTAAACAGTTTGACTCAAAGAGTTTGTGGATTTACAAGGTAAGTCAGTCAGGCAGCGCTAGTACTGTACGCACAGGCATCGTATCGTACTGCCCAACCATGGGATTCAGGATGCCGTAGAAAAATGTTTCACAAACTCGTGGATGCTGATGTTGAAAATGCTGTGTTTATAGAGAACTAAAAAGCTGACATCGCCCCAAGGTTCGGCACTGCTGCCCACAGAAATCCGGGAAGGGTGACTATAAAATCTGGTTTTGGTCTTGGTTTAAGATTTGAACACATGCACGGCCCGTACGACGTACTGTCGGCAGATGGGGCACTCGCTCATCCTTTTGCCGCACTTGGTGCAAGTGACCATGTGGCCGCACTCCAGCAGGACGCAGTCAATGATGGCGTCCATGCAGATCCGACACAGGTTATCATCGTTGTCGTTCAGCTGCATCTTCTCACCCTCTGAAACGCAACAGAGCAGGAGGTCATGCACTCAGGCCTTGGAAAACCAGTGAAGTTCTACCCCAGGCAACCCGTGAAGCTAATTTAGCATGAAGTAGTGCTGCTCCCTGTTCGCAATAGTTTTTCTAGCCCACAGCTAAAAATTAATCTATATTCCTTCAAAAAAGCAAAGAAACAAGAACTAGAAAGCCCATAAGTGAACATCCAGTATTTGGCTTCATTCTTTAAACTCAGACCATTTTCAATTCAGAATATAATGACTGTGAAATAACGTGCTGGATTAAAATTCAGAGCATGTTGGTTTTCCATCTCTGAGCTTACTTTGTTTGGCAGAACACCTTCCTCAGAAGATTAAGCACAATAATAAGAAAGCAGACTAAGAAGCAGAAGCCTTAAGTAGGCTGTAAAGGTGGCAGAACTGAATAAAACCTGTCAAGTTTCATTGCAAATAGACAACATCCCCTTATCAATAACCAAGTGTTCTGTTAGACCACGTTGTAAAAAAACCCCGTAAGTTTAAAGCTTGATTTGAGACAGGTTTTCAATTCTAGTTTATGACCAAACTGAAGGTGTCACTTAAACCATGTTTTGACATTCACTAACAGTCCCCCACCTTCACAACCCTTTCCCCCCCCCAGTTAGCTGATTATTTCACACCTGATTGATTACCACAGTCCCTGCAGTCTATGTACTGGCACAACCTGGCTGTGCAGTGGCCCAGGGCCGTTCAGTTTTCCAGTTACCACAGTCCCCTGTTCTTTACAGCCTGACTGCTGGATGCAGGAATGATGAGCCAGGCAGGCATTTTTCAAGCTGGTAATGACATCAAAAAGTTGCTCCTCAAATTATACTTTGTGAACAGGAATCGGTCTGTCGATGTACTACAGTCACGCAAGTGACAGACCCCAACTGTTGAGTGTAAGAGAAGAGTACTTGTCACTGAGCTGCAGCCACAGAACCACCTTATCACAAAAACATGGACTGAGACCAAACCACTTGAACTTGGACTTTTGCCACTGTAGCTTTTAATTCTGTACCACAGTAAAAGACCTGACTTGCTTTGGTCGGTTGACAGCTACTGAGCAGCTCTCTCGCTAATGCCTTGTGAAACCTAATAAAGGACATGGAGGTGCCAAGTTTCATGTTCTCTGAGGAACCAGTTCTCAGTTGTGCAATTTTACCTTCACCCTGAAAGCTGAGCTCTCTGAGCTTTGGAAAAAAGTCTCAAAAAACCAGCCCAATCCTGGAAAGCTTCACTGACTCACTAGAACCATGTTCAGCTACTCTAGGTGCAACTTGAATTGTTAAAATCCACTTTCCAGTTGTTCCAGCTGAGCAGACCAAGTTACGTACCAAGTCCTCCTGTTGGCAGAACCAGCTACTGGAAACCAGAAAATAAGCAGTCTTAAGAAAGTGAGAATTAAATATAAACCTACGTGTCTTGTGGTTTTCCTCACTCTCTCTGTATAGTCTGCTCACTTTTTCCACAAGTTCCCATTTTTCACAGCATCCTGAGTAGTTGACAAAATTACACGCAAGTATTTCCTTCAGCTGCCGAACACTCAACCCTTCAATGTCTTCCAGACTTGAAATATCAGACAAAGATGCCCTCACTCGCTTTCTGGACAATCCAGGGGTCTGAAACACATAAATTGTATGGTTTTTAACTGACCTGGCAAGTTCAAAGCACCAGATCTGGTGCTACATTAAGCTGCAGCAGCTTGGCTAAAGTTTTATTCTTTTTAAAGCAAGTATGTGCAGATATACTTTGCTAGACACAGCTAACTGCAAGAACTAGACCATGATACTAAATGTTGACAGAGATCTAAACACTTTATGGTGTCACATGCCAAAAATTTATTCTTTGGATAGTTCATCTCTCACCTGCTCTTCTGCACTTTCTTCTTCTTCATTATTTATAGAGGATGTTTCCATTTGTCCCTGTGTACAAAATGAAACTAATCAGGACAAAACCACATTATCCCTTATAAAACATTTCCCTTTGTACCGAACTGATCACAGATGACAATGACACTTTGAATTGCTATTAATCGTTACCGATTTAAGTCACCTCTACCATCTAAACTAGTAATCTTATCTAGAAATCTTCTGTTTTCAGGTGAGAGATACAAAAGGCATTTTTCCTGCCACCCTGAACTGTACCAACTGGCATTTTATTTTAAAGCAATGCATACCTATTAAAAAAAAACAAAACAAAACAAGACTGTGCTATACCATAAACCACGTTAATTATTGTACCCGTAAAGGTGTTCCATTTCCTGTGCTTCCCCTTCTGTTTGCGAGTTCCCCTTGAGACGACACCGATACAGACATAGAAAATGGATGAGTAAAAAAGCCCGAAGTCTGTGACCGTGAGGAATGCAAGCTACTAGCGTCCATATCCTCCTCCGAACCTAATCCATGATGGCACAGCACGAGATCCACCAAGTCTTCTTTCTCTCTGCAAGTATCCGTTGGTATGTTTCTGAGAATCAGATACTGACGCAGATCCTTTACTTTCAATCTCATTAACTGAGGGCGCTGAAAGGCTGTTTCTTGCAGCAAGTGACAAGTGGAACATCTTCTGAGATTCTCTTGTAAGACTGAACAAACTGAGCAAAAATCCTTCTTGCAGTCACAACACACATGCTAAGGAGAAAGAGAAAATAACCATTCAGCTCAATGTCACAGAAACAAATCTAGACCCTGCTCTTTCCTTTTCCAGGCTATGTAATTTACTATTAGTCTTTCCATCATCAATTTTGACATACATCATTTTTAGGATTTAAGTCTAGAAAACTGCCCTGTCAAATAGTTTTGCAGATGTTCCATGGCAGTCCATCGCTTTTGTAGCACTACTGTATGCTGATTTGAGGTTTCAGTGAAAAAACATGAATAAACAAATGAATAAAGTATTCAAATTGTAGTTTAGACAATAAACAAAATTGAAAGCCAGTCAATTTTATGGTATGTTAAAATACTTTTGAATATACTAAGTGTCACTGCTCTTTTCACTGGTGTAAAAAGCAGTATAATCCCCAAGCTTTAACGAACATACTTCTTCCTCCATTGATTCAAAGAATTCAAAGTAGGCCTTAAATGTGATGAATCACATGGTAGGTAAATGGTCCCAAATGCTCAGATGTCATTTCTGAAGAGAACTTTGTTCAAAAGATTCCCTACAACATACAAAAGCTAGAACAGGCAAGACTCTCAGCAGCGATTTTAAGTGGTCATCTCGTCCACTGTGAACAAATCCAAACTCTTCCAAGTTCTTCAGGGTTTTAGTAAATTAATATTAGCTTCAGAAAACATGCCTACACAACACTTAATTCAACAAAGTGTTTGCCATGCGAACAACAGGATGCATAGGAAGGGGGAAACTGAACACACAAACTGAGGGAAGAGGCTTTGTGTTTATCTAAAAGAGCTGCAGAGAACCGAGTGGACAAAACAATGATGCTGGACAGTCATAATAGACATAGTATTAACAACCTCAATTTTATTTATCTGCATTAACCCACCAACCTGCCTCCAAATGAAGCAAGAGGCTGTTGGAGTGCAATAGCATTTAACAGAACTAAACCTGGTTAGGAAACAAAACAGAATTCCACAAGTATTTCACAGAAAGAAGCTGTGATACTATATTGCGAGTTTTTAGCTTTTCCATCACCCCGTTTGTTCATTCCAGTACTCAACCACTATGTTTGGTATCATCTTCAAAACCAGATTCGTTTTAATGTTTAAGATTCTGAAGCTAAAACACGTATCTTACAAATTAAAATCCACTCATTTTTGGTCAGACCAGATCCAACGTGTCACCGATTAACGAACATCAGACCCCTTAACTTCTAATGCTGTCTGACATTAGTTTCCTGTGACCTAGAACAAGACACTTACTACCTCCCTGGCTATCTGCCTCAGGTTTCCTTATCTAAGGAAAAATACAAATTCATGTCCCAGTGTGCCTACAGTTTAGTTCATATGAGTAAAAATACTATGTAATAGGAAATATACTCACTTTTTTCCTAAAAACTGAAAAGGAAAGTCCACAGGCTTTGCAAACGATGTTAGCGCCTGCCGCAGCTGGAGATGGGTATGCTGAGAAGTCTGTATTTGGTGCGAATCTGAATGGGCCAGCACCTCCCCCAAAGCCAGCCTGCTGGCCACGGACAGCTCCAGTACCCATGACTTCATTCAGCAACCCACAGCAGGAAGCCCACATGGAAGTAGCTCCCGCCTGAAAACATTCACAAAGCAAGAAAGAAAATTAATACCTGAAAGCCCACATCAGATGTCACTTGCTACTGAAGAGCTACTTCAATCCATCTGTCATCATCCCAAAAGCACGTGGTGTGAATTCCCAGAGCACCAGGAATTCAGCACACTAATGTCTGTAACAGCCCAATAATCCCCACTTCCCAGCTGCAAACCAAAGTAGGTAAGATCTGCTTCCACGAAGCTCACGCAGGCACAAGGAGCTTGCTTTCACAACTCCTTTTCTAGCAGAGTTCCACAAAAAAGGGTAAGGAATTTGAGGAGGTAATGCAATAGCAGAGCAAAGAAGGAAGAGACTAACAGCCAGTCGTTGGTGAGGGGCAAAACCCAAAATGATGACAAGCAGCAACACAACGATTTATCATAATTAGCGTGGAGCTGTCCCCTGCAGGAACTTCTCCAGAACTAATTCAGCTCTTACATGACTGGATTTTCAAACTTGAAAGTAACAAACCAATCTTCATTAGAAACTACCTATGGTATAGTTTCTCTGAGAGGGAAATGTTTTTCAAGACCTCCCTAATCCTGCTGTTTTGTTGACTTACAAAATGTTTAGCAAAAATTAAAATAACTCTAAATGAACTTATCCTATATTGATTTGATTTCAGTTGAGTCACACAATTTAATCTTAAAGCACTATAAAAAATTCCAAATAGATAAATAAATTGCTACTTTTTATCCCTGAAAGCTTTTAGCACTAGATTCTCTATCAAAAGTGCATATTCTACTTAAAGTTGGAATTTGGACTGCAAGTTGTTCAGGTCACATGTTTAATCACTGTCATGTGGCTCACTGACACCACCCCTCCCCCCCCCCCCCAAAAACACAAAACAAAAAA